TCCTCTTTTCAATCAATTTGAAGTGTTATCACTTGTTGATAATGCAAAATGTTTTACTCAAATTATCTTTCGATTCTACTCTCAACTTATCAGGAGTACCTTTGCCTGACTTTCCACTTAGAATACCCCTGAATTGGTTCCTGTTCTCTCCAATAGAGTTGGTTGGTTTGGCACTTTGTTTCGGTATCTGTTTTTGATTCAGTTTTTTAATTTAGTGTTTTTGCTTTCTAAGGAAGCCATTCATTTTCTTGTGTAATGATAGCATTTCCATTTTTGTTTGAGATTGATACATTTGCAACTTAGTCCGTTCAACTTGCAATTTCTCATGCATTTCTGGTCCAATCTTAAAAATATTCATATGGTTGGAAAGAAAAGAAAATAATCTTTTTAAATATGTAATTTGTATGTGCTTTTATTCATTGAATTGTTTTTTACAGCAAGTTAAAGCAGTATTTTGCTTCGAACAGCTGAAAATGGGATTTTTTTTTTTTTTTTTTTTTTTTTTTTTGACTAAATTTTACACATTACTTTGTTTCACAAAATCAAAGAGTGACCAATCTTTATCAGCATTCTTGGAATTGTACACTAAATTAGTAGACAACTTAAACAACCATGAAGATGTTCATTTTTTTCTCTGACCTATGGAAGCAAATTCCTTCAAAAATTATAAAGTAAGCAAAAAAAAAAAATGAGCAACTGATAGTAATAAATGTGTGATAAAAAGAACTTTCAAATTATTGAAACTACTGTCTGACACTGACAGAAAATTGTTTTCAAGCAATTATTTTATTTAGAGGCAAAGAATTCTCCCATTTATATCCAGAAATGCTGATAATTTGCTTTTAAAAAGCCAAAATATGAAACCCCTCATGTTTAAAATAATTTAAAAAAGAAAAAAAAACAGCAATTCTTTTCTGCTATGCCAGTCATCTATTATTCATCTATAAATTTCTTCTAAACAAGGAATATCAATGAGTTTTTGTTGTTTTTTTTCCCTAAATAAATTTTTTATCTAGTGAATATACCAAAAATTAAATATTAAAAATAATTAAAAGCTTTTAATTTCATATTTAGAATGTGTATATTTCCAAATCTGCAAGTATCACCTGTTTGTTTTTTCGTTTTTTTGTTTTGTTTTTGTTTTTTTTTGTTTTTTCAGATACACATTTTACAACTGAAATTAAAAACTATTATATTTTTAATCATTTTAATATATAATCTTCACTGTCTGTCTATATTTCTGAGATGAGGTATTATGTACAGTATTTACATTAGTCGGACTATTGTCCTCATCTTTGTCGCCATATTTGTCATAATGTTTCGGCTGTTGTATGCTCCGGCCTTCATCAGTGGTTGGAATTTCGAACTGAACCCTTTATTTCGATCACTGGGGTAGACTGTTCTAGTTCTACGTGCCATGCTTAATGGATGTCAGTTATCTCCTTCTAATTTTCCCTCTGAAAGTTCTCCACTGACTTAACCGGGTATTGAACTCACATTCTTTGGGTCTGTCACTGGATCTAACCAACGCCTTTATCCACTGTGCCATGTGTCCTTGAGGACTTCTGGGTATTATAAACCTAATGTTTTCAGCAATCATTTTTTACCAGTGCTCATATTGCAATTTTGCTGTTATCATTGCATGTTTTTACCAGAGTTCATATTGCAACTTTGTTATCATTGCTTTTCTCTGGCACTCCTTAATTACTGGTTCCCATATTGTATTTATTTCTATGCTTGGTCGGCTGAGGAGATTTTTGTGGCCTAGCATATGTGCTGATTCCTTAAGTTTTCGAATTTTCCAATGGTGTTCCCTTCCCTATCTATGATCTCAACATGATCCCACAGGGGACGGTGATCTCTCTTCTCTCTTCATACCCAGATGTCCTCAAGGGCACATGGCACAGTGGATAAAGGCGTTGGTTAGATCCAGTGACAGACCCAAAGAATGTGAGTTCAATACCCGGTTAAGGCAGTGGAGAACTTTCAGAGGGAAAATTAGCAGGAGATAACTGACATCCATCAAGCATGTCACGTGGAACTAGAACAGTCTACCCCAGGTTCAGTTCGAAATTCCAACCACCTGAAGAAGGCCTGAACGTACAATGGCCGAAACGTGACAAATATGGCGACAAAGATGAGGACAATAGTCCGACTAATGTAAATACTGTACATAATCTTCATTGTATTCACTTGATAAAACCATAAAAATATTTGTAAAAATAAAATGAATTAATTTTCCTTGTTTAGAAGAATTTTATAGACAGAGCAGTAAAATGCCGACTGAACACTAGTGGCTAAAAAAAAAGAATAATTTTTACTTTGGGTTAAAAAAAAAAAAATGACTTGCAGTTTTGAAAATATACACATTTTAAAACCAAGATTAAAACTTGATATTTTTAATATCTAATTTTAGGAGTATTCACTAGATAGAAACATAATTTTATTTGTAGAAAACAAACTATTTTGCACTAGACTCACATATCTAGAAATTATACACATTTTAAAAGTGAAATTAAGTACTATTTTAATTATTTGTAATATCTAATTTAGGTGCAATTCCCTAGATAAAAAAAAACAAATTTATATTAAAATCATTTTTCTTCTTTACTACAACTTTGTGATTGGCGTCCTGTTTCTTACTGGCAAATGATTATTACCCTTTTACAAAAAAATCAGACTCCATAAGATTTAACATTAAGATAAAACTGGCAAATATTTATTTTTACTTGCTATTTTGTTAACTTAATTTTACTACAAAAAAATTTTTTTTTTGTTTCTACTGGAACAAATAGATTTCAGACATCAGGTTGTATTTTCCTTTTGTATCTGATTGAAAACATTCCAAGTGTGATATCTGTCATATTTCCTTTTTCTTTTTTTCTTTTTTTTTTTCCTAAAACATTGTAAGAGAAAAAGATTGAACAAAAATGTTAAAAACATTCAATTGACTAGTTTTATGTTGATAAAATTTGATTTTTAACATCTGAAAGTCTTTTTCAACACTGTTTCTTTGGATATGGTCACTCAGTAGTGATAGCACTTAAAAAAACTGAACAATTTCGGTTTCATAAAAAAAATTCAATGTGGTTTCATGTTGTGAAGATGAAACTGAAAAAAGTCTGTTTTTCAGTTAAACCACACATCTCTACTCTCCAAGCTCTATAATCGGTGCCTTGCTGTTGTTTTTAAGCTTGTTGGAGATCTGTTTATAAAAGCTCTGGCAGCCTGTCTGATCCATAGAACTATTGATCTTCTATCACTTTTTGGCAAAATACTAGAAGCTCTAATCAACTCTGATTGGTTAAGTGTTTCAACTTGGAGTGTTTTCTTTCAGACAAACAGTATAACTTTCATTTTTCTAGGTCAATTGCAGTTGTGTTGGCAGTTATTGCTGAAAGAGTATGTCAAGCTTTAGATAAGGATGATGAAACTCTGGCTGTTGCTTTAGATGTTTGGTTTGTTAGGGTCAGTTGAAGGGTTATGTTTTTGACAGTTTCTTTGACATGATTCACTCTTTCCAATCAAATCTCATAATGAAAGTTTTCTGGCCAATTTTCTAAATTTTTATGCATTAATGCGAGTGTTGCCCTGGGTTCTATTCTACTCTCTCATTTTCATCAGGATCCAATTTGGTATCTATGCTGATGGCACAATTATTTATTTCTGTCTTAATAGTAAATCCAATAGATTTGATAAAATCAAATTGGTCACAATCTTTTAACTGGAGCAAAAAATGGCTTGTTAATTTGAAAGCCTCCAAAACAAAACTGCTCTCTATTAATCGTCTTAAAGAATCTTTCAAGATTTCTGTCGGTATGCTTGATGCTAATCTCCAGGCTCACATTTTCTGTTGATGTAAAGTGAAAAGATTATATTGCTAAGTCTGCTGCTAGGAAAGTTGGTTCACTGTGTTGTCATCTTCTGTCTCTTTGAATCTTGTTCTTTTATTGTCCTCTGTTTCTTTCACTCTCAGTAACTCCTTGTATCTTAGTGGCTTTATTGTCTTGCTTAGGATGAAATTATTTTTTTCCTTTTAAATTCTACACTTGTCTTAATAAAGTTCCTCAATGAATGAAATGCATTGGTTTAAAAGATTTTCCTTTGTCATTTCTTTAATGTATATATATTGTTTTTCTTAATACAAATTGTTTGTGTTTTGATACTGTGGTTTAAAATGAATTTTTATAAATGAAAAAACTTTTAATTGAAAGCTAAATGATTAAATTTACTAGTTCCAGTAAGCAAAATACCCTGGTGTATTTCAGACAGAAATTATATTGACTGGAATCTTGACTTTTTGGTCACTTTCAAAAATCTTGACACATTTGTAAACAAAATTTAATTCTCAGTTTTAAAAATCTTCCAAAAATGAAGTATATATTTGTAAAATGTTATTGAGGAAAATTTGCAAATTTGAAGTTAAATTAATCTGAAATGGATATTACTTATAGCATTAAAAAAAAATATAGTATACAAGCATTTCTTAACCAGTGTCTTGTTTTTCTGATGTGCTGAATTATCTGTTGACAGCTAAGTATGATTGACCAGAATTGACATAAATTTACAAAATCTAAATGAACTTTTTTAACTATCTAGAAATTAAAAAAAAAAAAAAAAAAAAATTTTTCAGCAATTATCTAATTCTATTGAATTTTAGTTACTTTGCTTTACGTTTGAAGATGCTTATTAAATGTTAAGGTTATGTTTATAAAATATTTATAGTACTTTAAATTATTAATTACAGAATTGTTTACACTTTATTATTTTAATCCAATACCCTAAACAACAAAAAAAAAATTTAGTGGAATAATTAAAAAATTTGTACTGTCATCTCAAAACTTGAGTGTAGTTAAGACTTGTGTTGCACTGTTTCTTCTGCAGTAACAAATTATCAAAATGCTATAAAGATTTGTCTAAGCTTATTTAAATGAAATTGTATCTTCTCATCTTTAAGAATGTTCTTCACAAATCTAATGTTCCTTTTTCTATCATTGCAGGTCTGATTCTTTTCCCCCCCACCCCCAATACACTAATGAAAATGTCTGATCCTAAGGATGAAAAGGAAGAAGAAAAGACCTATGGCAGTTGTGAAGGTCCCAATGCAATGTATGTGAAACTGGTTTCCTCTGATGGACATGAGTTCATTGTAAAGAGGGACCATGCACTTACATCAGGAACTATCAAAGCGATGCTTAGTGGGCCAGGTAAAAATTTTTTTTTTTTTTTTTTTTTAAATGTATAATATTGCTATCACAAAGAAAATATGCTATAACAATATAAATCTTTATTCATCTTTCTCCAAAAATAGCATGCTAATGGTTTGTTTCATTTATTCTTTCCCTGATCTAACTATTAAAATGCCTACTATATATGTTAATAACATTGCCAAAATGATAATGGATTTTGTATGTGCCATATCCTGTCAGGTGGTTCTCCATAACCTCCTGTCCCTTGTAACTCTTAGCAGTGTTTGTCTATTTGTCAAACCTCCCACACACCATTCCCCCATCCATTCATACAAGCTCATCAGGTAAATGGCCTTCTGCCTTCACTATGTCCTGTGAGTGTTAAATTCTCCAAGCCCTCTTTCTTCATTGTGTCAATGAAATTTCAGCTGTCTCTTTCTAAATGTCTTTTTCTTTATTGCTTCTGCACTCTGTCCATGGTATTCTCAGCATTCTTCAGTAGAACCACATTTTTGCTGCCTCGCATTCACTACCATACGAGAGCATTGATATTACATAAAAAATTCAGCACTTTTTTCTTTGTTTCTAACAAAATTTTCCTGTTTCTTATTACTTTGCTTAGCTTTTTGAATGCGTCTTTTGCTATTCCAATGTGTGCTTGGAATTCATTGTCACATTTTCCATTCTCTGTTAAAATGCTTCCCAGATATTTGTTTGTCTATGCCAATGTTTGATGTTGACCTCTCCAATTTGTTGTTATCTCTTGCTGACAAATACAATTGATGACCTGTCCTTTCTTCTTGCTTTCCTTTACTACCATGTCTTGGATGTTCTGTGGTTTTCCTTTTGTATTCACCTTCAACACTTATCTGTGCAATCATTTTGAAATATACTACATTAGTTTATATATAAAACTCTGACACAACTGAGAAAGTTAGCTCTTTCTGCAATGTATCTTCTAAAGGTGGTTATCTTAATATTTTTAGTCTGTCCTCAGAAATTGGTTCAGAGGGATATTGAAAATACACTTGGTGCACTAGAAAATGTTTACATAGTGATTTGTTGGTATACATGAAATGAGGTGGTCTCTATTGATTTCATTGGGATTATTTTTGATTTGGAACTTGTGAGTGTCAAGCCATTGTTTTCAAAATTCTAAGGATACTTTTGGAAATGCTAAATTTCTGGTAAAGTTTTTATTCTGTTCAAAATTTCTATCAAAGCAGGTACCATTTTGTTTATGGCATCGGCTCTAAATGAGGTGTTCTGATAAGTTTGTTTACTCTTCATGAGTCTTTTCTTCCACTATCTACCATAGGGAAATCAGTAACTGAGGAATTTCTGTTGCTCTTAATTGTAAACCAGTGTGAAAGTGTATGTACATAACAGCAGTAACCTTTCAATTTTGTAAGTTCATAGTGCATTTGTTTTTTTTGTTTTTTTCATATTTAAAGACAGTGATTAGGTCACTATTGCGTATTGGACAAATGAGGGTTGCATAAAATACTGTTTTTTGTACTCCTTCCCAGCAAGATGGATTGAGTTACTCCATGCTTTTTTAGTTATGTTGAAAATATATGTAACAATAATCTGTGAATAAGAAAGGCTAAGTTATTACAAGTGTAACTAAATGTTTGTTCTCAATTCAGTTATTCCATACACTGAAATTAAATGTCTTAATTGTAATACACACAAATTACTTCCATATACCGTTTTCTATTACATATGAAAATGCCTTGGACTCTTATTTGGGAGATCAACCAATTAACTGTATAATAATGCATTATGTTTTATCAGTATTGTTCTAGCACTACAACAAAATATCTGACCCAATCGAGATAAAGTGAACTGTTTGTGGCAAGGATTTGATTCATTTGCCACTTATTTTAATGATTTTATCATATAAGGCAGCTCAGGTGGACCTTTGCTGTGAGTGATTTCTTCCTGTCATATATAGGCTTATGTTGTATTAAAACACATTTTCTTATTTGTTTAAAAATGTGGTGTTTTATATTGGTAGATAAGGTCCTGCAGAATCTGGAATTTCAGGTAATTCCTGGTAACCTTATTTCTACCATTGATGAGAGATCACCTTACCATTATCATTTGGTGTTGGGAATATGTTAGGGACTTTAATGTTGGAATATGAGTGACACTCTCTGAAGTAAACATGCTTTCAGTTATGGTAGGTAACTGCTTATAAAACAAAAATTTTATATTTTGACCTAGCCATTTGAGTCTGTAACTTGTAATGTAAATAATAATAATGAAAATTCAATCTTACAACTTAACCTGAGTATATTACCATCAGATTTCTTTAAGGTGTATGCATAGACTTTTACTGCAAACTAATGTAAAAAAAATCAAAAAAATATTTTCCTTGATAAGTGGAAATGAGATTTTTAAACTTAATATTTTTATGGAATATTTATGGTTCTCAAGACTTGTATGATTTTATTTACAGGACAATTCTCGGAGAATGAAACTAATGAAATCAATTTCCGTGAGATTCCGTGAGTATTTCAATCCTACTAATTGTTATTTTCAGTAATGTTTGGTTAAAAAAAAAAAAAAAATTTCTGACTCCTAAAATACTTGAAGTGTATGTGTTTATAGGATTGGTACAATTGATAAAATCATTATCAAGTCAAATAAACCAAAAAAAATTTACTTTAAGACCAGTGATTACTGTGATATGAAAATGTGCAGAACAAACAATACTAAAGTAATATGTCTTAATTTATTTTTCCTTTAAATTATTGCTTGTCCATTGAAGTAGAGTTTAGTTCATATAATTATATCTTAGTGTATTAATAGTAAAATATGCAATAACTAGAATAATTTGCTTGTATGAAACAGACTGGAGTACCAAATTAAGTTTACTGAAATTAAGTATTAAATGTTTATTGGCTGTTAATGTAAATAACTGTTTTATTTTCTCTATTTTCAGATCCCATGTTCTCCAGAAAGTCTGCATGTATTTCACATATAAAGTAAGATACACCAACAGCTCCACTGAGATACCAGAGTTTCCCATAGCGCCAGAAATAGCTCTTGAGCTATTGATGGCTGCCAATTTCCTGGACTGTTAGATATCTCAATACCTTTTTCTCCCACTTACATTATTCCTACTACTTGGGAATTTATATCCCTTGTTTTTTTTTTGTTTTTTTTTTCTTCTCTTGTACCCCTTGATTTTTTTTTTTTCCCTTATTTAAGGTGGAGTACACTTTAAAAACAAGTCACAAAAAAACTTTGGACAGTAAAAAAGGGGCCCTTAGCCACCCACATCCCAACAGGTGAAACTTTATATATTCCTTTTATTGTGCAACTGCTGTTGTACTTTCTGCAGACAAATTGTAACATTTTTTAATTTTGCTCAACTGCTACTGCCACTTAGTTTTATTTTTTTTCTTAAAAAAAAAAAAAAAATTTTTTTTTAATTTTTTTCCTTAAAAGCTGAGCTGGAAATTTTAGCTACTTCTGTTATTGAAATTTTTTTTTTTTTATAAATGTTTTGTCTAGAATATTGTTAAAGCTTTTTTTTTTTTTCCCCCTTCTCTTTTGGGATTGAAATAGACACTCATGTAATATGCATTTTTCTTTCCTTCTCCATAAACTTTTTGCTTTCCTCATGAAGTTTTATCGGCTTATATGAGCTGTGATCTAAAAATTACCCCTTAATAATTTATTTGTGGAAAAAAAAAAAATGGAATCAAAAAAATAAATGATAAATATAGTCTTACATTTTGATTTCCTATTTTCTGGCGTTTTATTTATGTAAATACCTGCTTCAAATTTAAATGTAAAATGATTGAAGTTGATACTTTCAATGCAGTGTATGTACATAAATTAATGAAGTATATCATTTAAAGTTCCTACGGGTAAGTAATATACATTCTTTAAACATTTCAGTATCCATACAAGGAAGAACAGACCTAGGTGTTAAAAACCCAATGTATGTTAAAGCCAAATAATTCCAGAAAATTAGAAGTTTCACTGAAATATTTGTATCCCCCTCCTCAAAAACCCTGCAATTATATTTTTAATTTTTTCTTTCACTTTTGTTGAATCTGATTTTAAGGGTGCATGTGCATCCCATGCCATATCTATTTTATTGTTCCTATGACTGCTCCATTATATGTTCAGTGTCTGTGGACAGATTCCTTGTCTTATTTGCCACTGTTTCATTTTCTGTAAGTCAAAGGCTGGGTAGGTTCGTATATAAAAAAAAAAAAAGAGAAAAAAAACTCAATTCAGAGGTTCTATATTTGCCTCACTAAGGCTGGGATCATAACCAGCCACTATCAGTAATAAGAAGCAAGTCATACATGTAATAGCTTTAAGCTTTTTTGTTTATGCTAATATAACTCATTATCAAATCAGATTCAGAACTCAGACTGTTCACTACAATGACCCAAGAAGAAATAATTTTATATATACACACAAAATAAATCTTCACTAATTGTATTATTTCAGCTGATGTAAAATGTTTGCTAAGTATACTGAAAAGTTATTGTGATTAGAGCCAAGAATTCTTTCAAATCTATGCCCATTAACATCCCCCTCAAAATCATATGTATGAAAATGGGAGTACTAAACACACACTTCTTCCTATTATTAGATTCTCCTGACAAAACAAACAGAAAATTTTTTTTAATTCTATAGTTTTACTTCATATACTCATATATGAGTATATGAAGTAATTAAAAAAAACTTGATAGAATTAAAAAAAAATTTTCTAGCTGGTTTGTTGAAGTATTAGAATTCTAAGTTTATTACTGACTTAAGAGCTGAGAGGAAAGTAGGTTAGGAATATGTGAAACATTGGAGGATGTTTGTTCTGCACACACCTTTTCAATATAGCTACTACTGTCAAACAAATCAACTTTGATTTTTCCAGACGTATTTACATTTGAGGTACTGTGTGTGTATGGTTTTTCTTTTGTTTGATTTTAAAAAAAAAAAATTATACATGCAAGAGTTTTTAGTTACCAAATAGATTCAAGAATTATTACTGGTTTAAATTTAATGACAAGTCAATGATATTAAAAACAAACTCAAATTTCAACATATTTTAATGTACTTTTTATTTTGACATAGCAATGTTTTGGCTAGCAAAACAAACAGGATTTCTTTTTTAATTTCATCCAGTGTGAAAAAAAAAAAGTCAAATGCAAATAGAAATATTTAGAATTATTGTAGTGTCAATCTAGTTGTTGGGTGCTTTCTGCAAAAACCACCATACAGACTAACAAAAGTGAAACAACTTAAAAAAACATTTCTACAAACATGGAATGGGTTAAGTTAAATATCACAGATTTGTCAACATTTGTAAGCCAAAAATAAAGCTCAAATGTGCAGGTTGTCTTTTTACATTTTCATAAAAAACAGTTTATTTCCAGTTATATTTATAAAAACAAAGTTTCCTTTTTATTTTGAGCATGTTTTCAACTCAAAAAACCTTTATGCCCAAATTCCTGTAAAAAGAAAAAAAATGAGAGTAAGAGTTCTGAAAACAAAACAAGTGGTAGATGTTAATAGAATTTTCAGGTATGTTACTATTACTGGCTGTTTTCTGCAAGGAAATATTCAGTAATACTTTTTATCATGCTATTTTTTTTTTTTTTTTTTTTTTGTAGTTAATATACAATTTTGTAAAAGTACAGAACAGAAATTGTTTCAGAATACTTAGGACTGCTTAGTGTGTGTGTTTTCATTATTATATACAAAGAATATGTATGGGGGGGGGGTCACTGATTGGAAATCAAAGTAGCTAAATGATTTAAACAGTAAAGTTGTATGCAACATGAGGCAACATGAAGTAATTAAGGATGCCAAGCTCTTCATAGGCACTGTCTTGCTCTTTGATATGCTGTCTCCTTCCAAAGACTTGTGACTAGTAATATTAGGTAACAAAAGCTGTTGTCAGGTACTAAGAAGAAAAAGGAAAACCTTAGTACTTTAACTTTCACTTAACACATCGTATTGTCCATTGCAAAAGAAAACACTGGGTACAAACGATAAGTGGAGATATTTTGCACTGTTAACATGATGAATAAAGAAACAGTGGTCTATTTTTTCACATTGTATTACCTCTTTTCCTGTTTTTTTTTTTTTTCCTTTTCATTTCATGCAGAATTAACTGCCATGTTAAATGTGAAGCAAAGAAAATTATCCACTCAACATGTTTATAAGACATTAATCTTGTTAACAAGAATATTTTTAAAGGGCACTTACTTCCTGATAAACGTTATTTCAATGTAGCTAAACCCAAGAGCAAATGTAATAAGCATCCCTGCTTGACTTGCATATCTGAAAATAAATTAACTGATACAGATTTAAAATGCATTATTTCATGTAGTCAAAAGCAGAATTTGTTTTCAAGGAGTTTTGGGCTAATTTTCATTTGTTGCAAAAATAATTGCTACAATCAATTAGTGTATATTTTAGAGATTTAACTGGCCAATGTTGACTTTCAAAAGTTCAAATATCATATTTTCACAAAACAAAGGATAATTACAAGATACATGCTATATAAACAGTCATTGTATAAAAAAAATATTAAGTTTATTGAGTATTTGGTGCACTAATTACCATTTTGTTTATGTAGCTTATAACTACAACTTTGGTTTCAGTATGTTTTAAACCATTGTCAAAATTAAATCCAATAATACTAATTTTCATTTAAATGGCCAAAAAATCATTTCAGTACAAACACTGCTATATGCTGTGTCAATTACTGCAAATTCAGTGTCATTTGGAAAACTTAAATGCAGTATAACTGAAGCAAGAATATATAACTTTATATACCCCAAATCAAAGGTAATTAGCCTATAAGATTCCTCCCATATGTTTGACACGCTACTTGAAAGTGACTTTATACAGTGCTAATATTAATCATGCAATTCAACTGATGTCTTTTTTGCACATCAAATTTTATAAACATCCTTTTGAAATATATGAAACTTTTTCACCCCCTCACTTACTGTATTACCTGTATCTCTTTATTCTGAACCATTTCATTAGTGTCAATTGCATCAACTACTAAAAAAATTGCTATTTATAATCTAGTAAAATAGGTTTTAAATCATGTTGATTCAGTTACTTCTTGAAGTGAAAGACATTTAGCAACAACTCTTCAATTTCTTTGCCAGTGTATAGGTGAGCAGTTTTTTTTCTTTAACATCATCAAATAAATGTAATGAAACCTGTGATCTCAAAGCAGACTGAACAGTATCCTTGAAATTTTTTTTTTTTTTTTTTTTTTTTTAACTAACTTTCCATATGGTGGTGACTTTGTTTTTTTGTATACCATTAAGAACAGCCTAATTAATTCTAAATATTGCCTCCTGTTAAAATTTGAGGTATTCTGCATGATTCAACTGAATTTTTGGATGCCTTTGATTTATTTGAATTGCCAGATGCTATAAGCTTATCAATGAGGAAGTTTCTTATAATCATCTATTCCTGTTCAGAAATCTTGACCCTAAATTCACAAGTACCATATTCATGCTACTTCCATAAGTATATAGAAAAATTTTGGCAGTTGCCAAACTCTGATTTTGAAGAATGCGTTAGAAACATCTTGTCTTGGAGAAAGGCACTTATATACAAAATTTTACTTTCCAATTCTTTGATGCTGTAATAGTTATTACCAAATATCAAGATTCATTTTAGAACAGGTAGGCAAGTGTGAAAAGCAAACACCCTTTGCAACAAAGAAAGCTCTTAAAATCTTTCCTTTATTACCAATAAGATGCCAATTTTGAACCAACATAATCTACCTCAACAAACCTTTATAATTTCATAATATAAGTTCTATGAAGTTTGCTTTTAGCAGTTCAGGATTATCTACTGAGAAATTTTATTTCTCTCCAACTGATGCCTATTTTTATTATCTATATCATTTACATAATTTTCCTGTAACGTCCCCCTGTAGAAATACCTAATTTTTCCAACCATCAGTGGTTTTGGCTAGCACAATTTGTTTCATTTTTTGCTGACAAATTTGATATGAATACTTTGTCTTTCATGATAGCTTCTTCATTGTTATGCCATTTGTCTTGAAGGTGGGTGCCCAGATTACATTTCTTCTGCTCTTCTCTATCCTGTCATTATATATCTTTGATAAATTAGCAGCAGGCAAGGTGACAGCCTGTCTGTTGCTAATTTTATGCCACACATTATTTTCACACACAACTTTATTCTATACTGACAATTCATTTCTTTTGGGTGTTTAAAAAAAACTCCAAAACATTCCTCATATGAACTAGCCAATAATAAACTGGTGCATTTAATGCTCCATTTACTTTTCAGCAGCTATGAATACATGCAGCATAGATGGCATTTAAGTTGCCAAAGAGAACTTTTGAATTTGTCTTATAATTGAGGATGTATGTTGTGGTGTAATGGATATTGATGCACAGATATCTTTGTGAAAAGTATGAAGATATCGCCTCTTCTCCCTCCACTTATGAGTTGAATAGCAGGACAGACTGGATCCTATAATATGGGTTGGCAACCAGTCTGCCACAGAAAGAAACAGCAACCTACTGCAAGAAGATCTATCTGTTATTTTTCATGACTTGAAACAATTCAGCATCTTTAATACCTGCATTCATCAATAAGTGAATAAGTCTACTGGAATACATATGCTCCTTGTTGATTTATAGAGGAAATATCTCCAAAACAAAACTGGTTTAGTTTTCCTTAAATTGACTTTTTTTTTTTTTTTTTTAAATCAAATGTATAGGTATTGAGTCACTGCTCTGAGCATATTGTTTTTCTTAATAGATTGCTATTAAATTCTGAGCTAACCGCTTTGGCAAACAAAAGATTTGCTTTGTGTGGTCAATTTTTTTTTGCCTAGTAGAGAACTGATATGCATATGAAGTATTTTATTTGTCTTCCTTGTGTCTTAGAGTTTTCAAATGCACGTTTCTTCAATTGATTGTCTATTAGCATCTCAACCTCTCCTCAAACCAAACTACTTCCGCTACTAAACAATTCATAAGTGACTTATTTGGTATTCGTTTTCTAAACTCCCTTTTTATCGCTTTATTGCTGCTCAAATGAGTTGTTTTCTGGTGGAGCAGATTAGCACTTTCTACAAGTCTATATGCTTGTATTGCATCAGGTTGTATTCACATATTTGAACCTTATTATACAAGCATCCAAAAAAATAAAAACATTTTGTAATTAACTTATTTAATTTATCTTCTGCATTTAATTCCTTTTGCTTAGTTTAACAGTAGCATGTTTGTTTTTTTTTAAATCGGGACAAGTTGTTAAATCAAAGATTTGAACTATCTATCATTTGCAAGCATATTTTGCCTTTGACCTTACACTCTTGCTAAACTTTAAAATTTAATAATCACTTCTTTTGTGATGAATAACCTTGTGGTAAACATTTTAAACTTATCCTTAGTAAGTTAGATTTTTTTTTTTTTTTGAGGTAGTACAGTATGTACGTTATTCCTCTAATATTACTGGTAATATTTTATATAGAAGTATATATATATTTGGCTGACATTTTAACATTTTCTATTGTTTATTAATATGACAATTTTATATAATTTATTATTTTATTTATATGATCTATGTACTTTTAAGTTTTGATTCATTTTTCCCGTTTTTCCTTTTACTTCTTAAAGAGTTTTTTTTTTTTTTTTTATTTAAATAATTATTGTTAAATTAGGCTGCCTCTTCATCAATGTTGACTATTTGTATATCGTTACATTGTATCAAAATTCTATTTCAAATAGACCATATGTATTCATTTCTGTTTTATGACATCTTAACAGCTGTATCTTTTGTCTGGCTTCTTTATATCAGCCTTGTATTTATTTTTCTCTCTTCTTTTTCTTTGGAGAAGAGACTATATCATGTCTTTCTTTCCTTCTTGCTTTTTTTTTTAAAGATGAGACTATATCTTGCCTGTCTTTCTTTTCTCTTTATTTCAACTATATCTTGTCTTTTTTATTTTTAGAGGAGACCATATCTTATATCTTTCTTTTTTGCTTGCTTTTCTTATTTTTGTTGCAGGAAAAGAGATTGTAAGCAAATGTTAAGAATTGTAACCCTCATTTACCACTGCCTGATGAGATGCATTGAAACATGAATGCATTTATGTAGTCATTTTGTATGTGCTCAAATGTAATATCTCCCCAAATGTAAAGAGAATTTAATGTTCATAACATTAATTTAGAAGAGCTCAATAAAAAAAGTAATAGTAGTAACTTACATTCGATACAGAACAAATATTAATGGCTTTTTTAAAAGTCACTCATTTTCTTTCTTTAATCATGACAAACACCAGTTTAGGAAAAAGTTTCTTTGCTTTCATTTTTTTGTTTTAATCTGATTGAAAGGCAAAAACGCGTAATTAAATCTAGTTTTAATGAAACGTTTTCCTTTTGTCAAATTGTTCAACTTTGTTGGGATTCTATATCCTATTTTAAATGCACACAGTATCTTTTTGCCTATCATCTACAGGTTATTTAAATATACAAAATGAATGGTTATAAAGATTTTCGAAACCAGGATTAAGCAACTCCATATAACCCAAAACAAGGGAAATAACCGCCCTACATAAATATCTGCAACCATGTAATAATTCAATTTAGATCTTTCTGAAAATTCTAGTTCAGTTCAGAAATCACTATAAAAGAACAAACTTGTAGTAACCAATGGTTATAGAAAATAGCAGAAACAATTATAAGTTTTGGTAATATATGCAGCTAAATGTTTTTAAAATGCAAGCCAAATTGTGTAAAGGGAGTTTGTCTATATTAATTTCTGAACTAAGTTTTATTAAATGTCTAATGGTTCCCTGTATTTAAAGATAAAAAAAATTCTTAAAGCCAACATGACCATCACACTTCCCGTCTATGAAACTTCCTTCCTCTTACTTGCTTCCTTGATAGCTATAATCTCCAACTATTCAAATGCAATGTCAATCGCCATCTTCAGATGGCCTTGATCTATTCCCTGTCCTTCTCTTCATCCTTTCCTCTTTCACACCTCTTTACTCTTGCTCCTGCTCTCTGTAACCCCTTGCATGCTTGGAGTGAAAAGCTTTAAAAAAAAAAAAAGTTTTGAATTATATCCTTAAAAATATGAATTGTGAGCTACTCACATTAAAGATGCCCCAAGATGCAAAAGGCTATTTCCAAAATACAATGTTGATTCAACACCAAAAGAACTTGTACAAGTACGAAAAACATTTTGTTTTACCAGAGCAGATTTTGGAACTGAATTAGCTGCAAAAAAGAAAAGGAGAAATTAAGAGAATTTGTATGAAAAATAATCTTTGGAACTAGGATTGTGAAATGAATGGGCCCGCCAGACTAAACTACAAAAGTTTTGCTTTGCTACAGCATAACTGTCATTGCAAGGTACATTTTTGATGTGTCTACCCTACTGTGTGTTATCCCCACCACTGCAGGTCATCTTGGCTCATCTGAATAATTCAGAGATCTTATGTCATTCATCACTCACCCACAGAAGCTCCTAACTTCTAGGCTATTGTTAAATGGAAAGCCTTTTGATAACTGATCAGATTCTATATGTATTTTCCAAGATACTTGCCACTATCCTGGCTATTTCAACATAATTTCTTAAGTAATTAACATTCTGATGCTCACAGGCCAGATATTTCTTGCAAAAACAATTTTATATGAAAACCCAGAATAACCAAATACCATTTCTCAACTTTTATGTCGTTGAAGTTATGTTATACTTTTTCAACCTGAGTTTTCTAGTTTTCAGTATTTTGTCAAAGGCAGAGTTTTTGCTGACTGAATTTAAATCAACTTCATAAGACTCTGGGAACTTTTCAAAGGTTTGTACTATATGAAATTTATAAGCTATATAGTTCTTTACAACTGTGTATTTGGATGGCATATTGTGCTTTATTACTCAAATTTTACTTTAAAAAAAATAATATCAATCCTACTGTGTCACACTAATTGGTAATTACAGATTGAAGACATTCTAGATTAAAAGCTATTTGCAAGGATTAAAATAACTTTCCTTATTCAGTAGTGGGTCATTTAATATTAGCATTAAGAAATCTGAAAATACTGGTTTTCAGATTTTAAAACTGGTCCATACATCTTAATTGAACTTCAAGGTAATTGTTATATACCATACCTATGAACACTAATGGTTATGTCCCAATCCTATGTTGGACATTATTGTATGTGGGGGTAATATGCAGTCTAAGCTGGATTCAACACACCTGGTCTTAACGGGGGACTAGAATGCCTGAAAGTTAGATAGGGGGCAGGGAGCTAGTGGGAGAAGAGGCAATCATAGCTTGGTTGATCTGATCAAAGAGTTTGGTCTTGTCAATAGATATCGGGTCAATCACCCTGGTGGTGGTGGGGGGCATGTGCTCATAATTGGCCTTCTACCATGGTGGTTAGCTACCTGGATAGAGGAGCTGACATAAACTTGTTAGATTGTCCCATTGGGTAGGCTAGTTGGACCACAAACTCGTTTGTGTCCGGATGGTGTTAGATCGTCGGCCTAGAATGGCTGGTTACTGGAGATAGCCTTAGCTAGAGAGGCCCTGGAGTGTTTGACTAGCAAGCACTACATGGGCCAGGTAATTAGACATAGGTTAAACAAGAAGTGGTGAACATGGGCACAAAATTGCGCAAGGAAAACATTTGTCAAGAGTCTGATTGGCACATTTGTGAAATCAAAACCCTGGAGTGGCACACTCTTCGGTCCACTGACGACATGTGAGAGGCATTTCAGGAGCTGGTTTACCAAGGAGCCTGGTCTTTGTGATGACGAGTTTTGCAGCTATTTGGCTGACTTTCCTTGGTTTTCATTGACTGAAGCAGCTAGCTGCGAGGGAGATATTACAGAGGGCGAAGTCTACACGGCATTGAAGAAAGTCAGCAAAGGCAAGTCGCCCGGTCTGGATGGTTTGCCCTATGAATTGTACTTGAGGCTGTCACACATCTTTGTCCTGATTTTGATGGTTGTGTTAAACAACTGGTTCAGGCAGGGGACCAGTTCACCAGGGGTGTGATCACACTGTTGAAAAAGGGACAGGTCTTGAGCAGGAATTAGATGACTATAGGCCCATAACTCTGCTAAGCACAGAGTTAAAAGATTTTGGCCAAGATCCTGCAGGAGTGCTTTGCAGTCAGTTGCTGAGTCTCTGTTTGGTCCTGAGCAGACTTGCACTGTGAGGGGCCGAACAATTCAGAGCAATCTGCATAATCATAGAGGGTGTAAAAGATGATGATGAGGCTGCGCTGATCAATTTAGATCAGTCCAAGGCATTTGATAGGGTTAACAATCATTACCTTGCTGCTATCCTGCAGGCTGCCGGATTCAAACCAGACTTCTGCCACTGAATTAGCCTCCTGTATCGCTCCCCCAGTGCCGTGATACAGGTGAATGGGAAGCTGTCGGGTACTTTTGCACAGTCTAGGTTGGTTCATCAGGGTTGTCCACTGTCGCCCCTACTTTATACTTTGGCATTGGAGCCTCTCTTTCGCCAGCTGAGGCACAGGGCGTGCAGTCCAGCCCTATGTGGAATTACCGTACCTGGAGGGGCTTGAGCCAGGGTTTCCATGTACACCAATGAAGGTACAAAAAGGTGTCGGGCCAGGATTAACCACAACAAGTCGTCTGGTTTGCGGTTAGGTGCCTAGAAGTGGGTTGATCTTCCGGGGCCCTTTGGTTGGTTGGACGGACAGTCCTGTCCGCAGTCTTGGAGCGTGGTTTGGACCCAACCTCCAGCTGGAGAAAAACTGGTCAGAAGTATGGGCAAAGGTCGACATGGCTGGTGAGACTTGGCACCAACGGAAGAGGGAAAATGTAAGTGCCACTTACATTTTCCCTCTTGTCCTTTATCGCTTGTCCATACTTCCTCTCTGTAAGGATCATAAGAAGCCGTTCGAGTGCTTGCTATCCTCCATCTTATGAAGAGGACAAGCATCAGGTCGACAGAGAATGTGCACAACATCCATGTTATGGGGCCTGGGAATGCTACACTTGGCAAGTCACAAGCTCACCTCAAGGTTGGCTTTCCTACGTTGCTTGTTGACAGGAGATTCAATTATGGTGGGGATTGTAAGGGGTACCTTTCCTTTCCTAACTATCAATCCCCCCATCCCGCGGGTTTACCGCCATTGTAAACCCAGAGATCAATTGGATTTCCTTCACAAATGTCGATACGCCTTGACAATCATTCCTCGGTCCAGTGACCTTTCTTGGCTTAGGAAGGTCTTCTATCGTTATTTAGTGGGGGTGGGGTCGCAAAGGATCCTCTACATGAGCAGCTTGACTTGTCAGAGGAGTTTCACTCTTTCTGGTCTTGGGCACCAGCAGCTGATTACCTCAGTAACCCTGAGTTTTCGCTTACCTGGCAGCTGGCTTGTAATAGGCTATCTCTCAATGACAAGGTCTTCATATGGCTTGGCAGATTTTAGGTCAACCTATGTCACATTTGGGTGGTTTCCTGTGGAGCCATCACCGTGGTTAGGTTAGACAAGCTTTGTGTACCTAGTTAATGTGTGTAAGTGTTGTTCCTGGCCTGCTCCCAGCTGCATCTTTGGTTATGATCAAAGTTGAGATTTCCAACCTCCCCAGTTTGTTTTGGCCCCCTTTTTCATCTCTACTGGGTCAGCTTTTATATTTCCCATGTCAGTATATATTTTCTCTTTTCCTACTCCCTTAGCAAGAGAGCTCCTTGATTTTGTCCAATGGGCAGAGTACAGCGGCCTCTCTTTTTTGAGGGTTGGATGGGCCCTACTAACATCAGTTGTGTTTAGTTTGTGTTGATATTTAATTTGTTTTGGGGGTTCATTCCCTCCCCTCTCATTCTTCTTCATTAGATTTTTATATATAATTTATTATCATTAAATTTTTATGTCACAGTGTTTGTTTTGTAGGTCCCCCTTGAGAGGATGCGGTATTGTGGTGTCTGGGGGATTGATTGGTGATAGATGAGTTTTTAATGGTGAATGTGGAAATTGTAATGGGTCGTGAGTCGGATTAGCTAGGTATAAGATAGTAAATGATGACCAGCCTCAATCCCTCCCTTTTGGCCTCATGCCACAATTGTATTTTTATACAATAAATATAAATATGCAGTCTAAGCTGTCTGTGGGAAGCTCTTGCCACAGAGAGGAACCCTGACGAGGCTATGCTGAAGGGCAGAGTCTTGTCCGGGGAGGTAGACAGATACTCAATCCCACGTATGTTGGGGTCTATGGGCAATTTCTGCTCAAGTCCACAGGTTTGAATTTTCCCACATTAAATTTGGCCTTGTGCCACATCCTACCTCATGGGGAGGCAGGTAAATATCGTAATATGCTGTCTAAGTAGTCCACCACAAGCAGTGGTTTACCTACTTGACGCCATTGGTGAGTATTGCATTTTGTTGATGTTATAAAGATTACCATTTCATTTGCAATCTCCATTTTGATTATTCCTCATTTAGTAACCCTTTCTTGGGTTACAACAATACTAAGCTTTAATTACAATATAAAGAAAGAAAAAGTTGATATATTATAAATATCCCAGACAAAAAATTATTTTCTATTGCTACTAGATGTAATCTTAACAATAACATTAATTAACAGATATTAAATTACTGGTATATTTTTATGGATTTTCTTTTTTTATTTTTATGTATTATTTATGATGAGATCATGATGTACATTTTTTATACATTAAAAATAATATTGGGGAAAGTTTTGTCCTTCAGGATTTCAAACTAAATTCGTTATGTTGGTGCAACTACACATGCACACGAACAAGGGATACTGGGAATTTTAAACTTTAGTTAATTTTTTTTTTTCTTTTTTAAATCTAATTTCATTTAAGATTTTTTTTCTTTTCATCACTTTTGTTAGATATTCCACACTGTGAGAAGTTCTGCCAGGAATGGTGAAATGTTGTAAGAGCCTGAAAGAAAAAAAGAACCTAAATGAAATTGACCAGATTAATTTAAAAAAAAAAAAAAAAAAAAAAAGTTTTTTTAAATCCCAGCATCCCTTGTTCATGTTGAGTTGCACCAACATAAATTTAGTCTGATGAAGTCCTAAAGGACAAAATGTGTCACAAGAAAACTTTTTCCACTTTTTCATACATTTTCCCCCACTAATTCAAATGTAATTCATTTTATATTTTGTTGCAAGTCACTCATGAACATTATACATACCTTTAAATATTTGAAGAATTCCTAATGATTTCATTGCCTGTTGAAGATGACAGAATCCAATGAAAATTATAAAATAACCAATGCCAATAAAAATGTTGGATTGTAGAAAATTCCAGTGAGGTTGGTATTCTAATAAAGTCATAAATCTAAAAGGAAAAGATTATTTCAATTAATATCACATTCTTTCAATAATATTTATTGATGATCAGGAATTTTTTCTGAGCATTCTTTGTTTACTGTGAAGTATGTCTGAGATTTAATTTAAAAGAAAAAAAAAGAAATGTTTTTCTGATTAGAAATCAATGCTACAAGAAATTTACATGTGGTGGAGTCTAGCCAGAGAAGGATTTTTTTTAAAACCTCCCTTCTATTTAATAGTCTACAACTAATAGAATAATATATTCCCAATGGCATTTACCTGTGGATAATAGGTTCATTAATTCCCTTAAGGTAAAAAGACAAAACAGGGGAATCATTTCACCTACCTGATAAAGGAAAGTATCAAAAATACTGCCGTTGTTAATGCTGTAATGGTGTCACCAAGTTGTGTGTTTGCTAGTTTCTTTTTTTGCAGAAAAAGTGAACAGATCTTGAATAAAAAAAGAAGGTTTGATTTCAAACTTTTCACGCATTTTCAGAGCCAAATAATATGTTAAGAAAATCAATATACACTAAAATTACAAGAAACCTTAATATAAATCATAGTAAATTCTAACATTTCATCTTATCAGAACAATACAGTAATTAATGTAAAATTCATCCAATATTTAATGCTTTTGTGTAAGGTTTACTTTTAAAAAAGAATATTAGAAAACTTAAAAACAAAAAAAAATATAATCACAAAGCCAAATTAAAATTGAATCAGTTACAGATGAAGATCACTTATTCAAAGTTTTGTTAAAGACTACTGAACTCATTTTTATTGCTGCTTCTGCTGTTTACCAACACTGGTATACTGTGAAATACTCTCTCTTATCTAAGTAGCTGACATCACAGCCAACTGTTGGTAATTTGTTAAAATAGAAAGTCTTTTTCTTGGTATTACAAATCAGTATTTTTCTGGATTGTATTATAGAAAAAAAAAAATCACTTTGCTTTGTCACCATCAATTTAATCTATACATATAGAGATGGTCACAATTGATTTGCTTAATGAAATAGGGACATCCATAAAGTTTAAATTGGAATTATTTTTTATAAAGAATTATATGTTCTATTATTCAGACGGCATAATAACCAAGATATGCCTTGGTTATTATTTCAATTATTGTATCCTCCAACCTCCTTCAGGTATCCATTGTCTTAGCAGGGATATAGATTGTTCTCAATTTACTTTCTAGTCTGTGTGATATATATGTCTTGTAGATCATTTACACTCCTTCATGCTTTGCCAGGTTTCCCAATGGTAATGTTTTATTCTAGTAAAAACATACAAACCTCCATCTTGAGCTGATAAAAATGGAACTGGTTCCAGGAAGACTTTACTAACTTTCAGGTATTCTACTGGCACCATGTTCTCTAAATTTACATCCCATACTAAATTCCCAACAAACAACTCAAGTTATGGACAGCAACAGACACAATGACTAGATAAAAGCTACCACATAACAAAAAATGGACTAAGCCAGGCACCAAAAAGTTCAATTATTTGACTAAAACCAGAAATATTAAATTAAATGAAATTAACAAAAAAGCAAAGGCTTTTAATTTAAGATTCACATATACAATGGGTAAAAAAATTGTCTTTAAAAGAAATTTGAAGATATCTGAATTTTTTCTTTATATTACCTATTGGTTGTTCTTACTCTTATTAATTGTAATGACTTTTCCTGTTGAAATCAGTGTTCTATTTTTTCTAGTGAAGAGATAGAAGTAACATCAAGGAATAATTAAATAAATGAAGTAAATAAAAAGTTAAAACCAACCTTACTTATACAGTTGTTTAAAGTTGCTAAATATGGCCTTTAAGTTTGATGTAAAGTCATTTCATATTTATAGAATTATATTATAATTATTAGTAAATAAATTATAAGGAAAATAGTCTGTAATTAACCAAACTACCACTAGATTTAAGTTTTAAAGTTAGTTTTAGTTCTACTAATCTAATCAGCAGGACATCAATGATTAATGATTTCTATGGCTACAATTTAGAAAATTTATTGTATCAAAATATGAAAAATTTTCAAACCTTTGAAAACAAAAAGGAAATTAAAATATTTTGCAAAATAAAAGTATTATATAGATACCATTATTTTCTGTAATAATCTTTTCAATGATTTCATTTCAGCTTATATATAATATAAATAAACTATTAAATGCTTTATTCTTCAAGTTTTCTTTTATAATTTCATCCCAAGCAAAGTAATAAAACCACTAAGATGCAAGGGGTTACTTCAAAACAAAATAACAACATTAGGGAGATGGAGAACAATAAAACAACAGGAATTAAGACAGAAGATAACAATATTGCATTTGAATTTTTGAAGATCAAAGTTGACTGGAAAGCAAAAAGCTGGAAGAGTGTTCCACAAGTGAGAGCTGAAAGAAAATAAACGGTTAGCGTAGAACTTACTATCACATCTAGCCATTTTGACTGTAAAATGAGACCTTGTCACCAATCTAGTACTGCACTTAAATTTATAGTGTAGTTACCAATACTTTTAAAATGCTGTAACAAAAAATTTATTCTGTTGCACCATTTGTGTTGTGTTATAACAGTCTCAAACAGAATTTGGATCGTTATAATGGAGAGATATTTAGGTGATTTTTCTTATACAACTTAAAAAGATTAAAATGCTGAATGGAACACTACCATGGTTTCAACCACCAAGGTCTCATCTGGTGGTGAACTTGGCAAACTAATTAGACAACACAAGAATTTTTTTTATTTTGCTTTAAACAATATTGCAAAAAATGATAGTGATACTGATATACCCTTGTTCAAAACTGATAAATACCCCCACCCCTGCTGTGAAAGAACTGTCAAAGTTTGAGAAAGATCTAATAGGCATTTTAAATAAAGTAAGGTTTAGAAAAAGAAAGAATATTTCAGAAAAAATTATCAATAGATAGTGGAGGGATACAAAAAATAAAAATAAAAAAGTGAATATTCTTGTTATATGCAATGAGTCCTAGAGTGTACAGAAAGAGTTTCAGGAGGTAACCAAATTTTACAAAAAGGCTCCTGCTTCTGACGTGGATATTAACACGGATGCTAAAGAAATTTCCACAATGTTTGGAATTAGCAATAAAGTTAGGATATTGGCTGAAAAGATCATAAAGAAGACTTCCTCAACAGCCTATCATTCCGTTTAATAAATCAAACAGATGGAGTGAGGTATTATAAGCCATAAGATTGTAATGGATACCTGCAAGCTATTCAGGGTAGCTACACAAGTCAACCAGTGGAAGAGCACTTCTGACTGCATTTCCTGGTTTAATAATATTCTAAAAAGTAATTGTGTTTATCAAATATGACATCAATCATTTCTATCCATTTATAGAAAAAAAAAAAAAAAAATAGTTTATTGGAGGCTTTGATGTTTGCTAAGAACTTTGTATGCTTAAAGCCTGAACAAATTTATTGTGATAAACCAGTATTATTTCTGCGTGGTGAATCATGGATTAAGGAACCCAAAGCGGTAACATATCCTGCAATGCAGATTATCAAAAAAATTCTTCTAATTAAGAAATATTCCCCGTAAAAAAGAAAAAATATGTATCTACTTTAAGAGAAGAGGGACATAATATCAACCTGTGTTTCAAGGACACAAGCAGACCAAAGAACAGATGACAATAGAGAAAGAAAAAGGAATGTTATCTGCTTCAACCCATCATTCAACATGCAAGTAAAAACAAATATAGGGAAAATGTTTTCGCCCTCCAAATAAGCACTTCCCAAAAAACATCTGGGCTATACAAATTATTTAACCATAATACAGTCAATTTAAGCTACAGTTGCACTAGCAACCTAGGTAATATTATTAAAAGATTGAACAAGAGAAATTTAAATCTTGAAGATGTGAGAGGTGGAAATAAGGTCCTTTGTAATTGCAGAAGAAAAAATAATTGCCCCTTAGGTGGGGTATGTAGCACAGAAGGAGTAGTGTATTTTGCTGAGGTAGAAAATGACAATTGCAGTGCAAAAAAAATACACTGGTTACATTGAGGGCCAATTTAAAAAGAGGTGGTATAATCATACCTCCTCATTTAGAATACCTGAACATAGTTCAATAATAAAGGTAGCAAACTACTATTGGAGCTTTAGAGAAAAATGAAAGAAGCCTGGTCATCAAGTGGAGTATTGTAAAGGCTGGTAAAGTAAATGGCAATTCATGTAGGCTGTGTCAGGAGGAGAAATTGCAACATACAAGGGTGGAACTGAGCTCCAAAAATTATGGCCAAATGTAGGAACATGAGGTTAATGCTGGGTTTGTACAAGCCCAGATGTTGTTGGAGAGATAATTTCTCCAACTCATTACTTCTGGTTCTGCATTAAGAAATTCAAGTTCTTGTGTTGTCTTAATTAATTCGCCATCTGATGATACGCTCATGGTCAAATCTGCAGTAGTGTTCCCATTCAGTGCTTTAATCTTTTTAAGATATTAAATCTCTCTACATGTTTGATTTTTTTTTTTTTTTTTACTGGAAACTGACCACGTTTTAGTGCATACAATTTTGAAACCACTATTTTAGCGTTTATTTATTTTTTTGGTGTGTGTGTGTATGTATATATATATATATATATATATACACACACACACACACACATAAAAGCAAAAAGAAAACTTGCCTTAGCCAATGTTTTATCATTTAAAGGATTTTAAATATATATATTAGCCTAACAATTGCATTTGAGCATGAAACAGAATGTTGCCACTGGCTGTTGACCTCTATATCCACTTTTATATTTATATATGCTTTATATGTGCTCTATCCCTGATATTGAGCACTTTAACTTACAAATATAGTATACCTTAAAACTATATTTTTTATCATATATATATTTTCACATATGAAAGATTACCCAATGCTTAAATGGTGTGGTGATAAGAGAAATAAATAACAATCTCACCATCTCTAAAAATAAGCAAAGAAAAAAATAATATCATCAGGTCAACAAATCCATAGTTCAATCAAAGTTTTCACAATTCACAATCAAGATGTAAGTAAAGAAATAATTAAGAGACCAAAATTTTGCCATTTTTAAAAATAGATTAGTTGGCAAACCAATCAGAAAACTTTCATAACCAGAGTATGAGGTTGCAAGCCAATGAGAAGCAGAGTGCACTTTTCAAAGCAAATGTATAAATGTGATGGAACATCAACCAAAATCAGAGTTGATAAATTAATATTGTCCATTCTCCAATGATTCACTGTAATATACCCAGAGACAAAATACATGTTCATGACTAGATGGCAACCTATTTACATTATTTGGACTATTGTCCTCATCTTTGTTGCCATATTTATCACAACATTTTGGCAGTTGTACACTCTGGCCTTCTTCAGGTGGTTGGAATGTCGAACTGAAACCCTTTATTTTACTTGCTAGGGTAGACTGTTCTAGTTCCATGTGCCATGATAAATATGGCAACAAAGATGAGGACAATAGTCCAAATAATGTAAATAGCGTACATAATACCTCATCTCAGAAATATAGACAGATACTAGATGGCAAAGTTAGACAGCTAAATTGTTTTGATACATTGAAAACATATATCTTCCTTCATCCATTGTTAAGGAGGCAGTTACTACATTTAGATACATATATATATATATATATATATATATTTACTTCCTCTTGGATTTTCTTTCTCCCATGTACTAGATTTGAACTCTTGAAATTTCAACTTTCATCTTATCCTTCTGTTTTATATTGTATATAAATTTCTTTGAATTAAATTATTTCAGTTACTTTTAGTTCAAACTATTATTAGTATAGGTCTCGGATGTTTCTTTCTAACCTTGTATATTTTCATTGTTCATGCAAGTAGGTAATAAACAAACTTACTAAGATCCAAGCAGGAAGGGCTATTAGGATTAGAAACAGCAATTGCCACAAATTTGAGTCAGACCAAGTAATTTGTGATTCAGGCAGAAATTGGGGATAAAATTCCATCTGCAACAAAATAAAGTAAATGGTTAAAAGAATGTCTGCATGACAGTACAAACACACCAATTTTGACATTCTTAAAGAAAAAAAAAAGAGGGTAATTTTTAGATTTTAATGAAATTTTCAAGAATTATTCACAAATGAATAAATTATTTTTAAAATGTTTCTTTTTTAGACACACTCTTTGTAAATAATTTTTTTTTTTTTTACATGTTTCACTTAATTTTATGAAACTTTTTTCTCCCCCTGAGAAACTTAGTGGCATTACAGATTTTCAATCAATGAACATAACATGAAGGTTAAAAAGAATTGTAAAATTTTATCCAAAATAACAGACTATTTTATTTTTCCTTAAAAAAAAAAAGAAAAAAAAAAAGAGGATTCAGTAAATCCAGATTTGAATAATCACTTAGAAACAAGTACGGTTTTCAGGTGTTTCTAAGACAATTCCGAATGAGATACTTGACCGTCTGCTACTAACATACCATGAGGAGATAAGGACAGAAATTAGAGGAGCTTCATTTGTAGCCATCATGGCTGATGACACAGACGTTTCAGAACACTCAAATGGTCACTATTCTCTGGTATGTATTGAATGAAGAAATATTTGAACATTTTGGAGGATTCTTTATTCTAGAAAATCAAACTGCAGATAGCATATCAAAACGTATTCTGGAACAATTAGATATACTTCTTTATAGTAATTAAATTCTGTATATATATATTTATTTTTTTTTTCAACCAATAAAATCCCATCAGAAGGTTTGTTGCTTAAACAATCATTACTAGGGCAAATACTGCCAAAATACTTGGATATAGTTTTGGACCATTTAGAAAATAACCCTTCATCATTCCTGCAGATTTGAGAAAAAGATTTTCATGAGCCAGTGTGATATTATTTCCTAACTAATGAAAACCTTGTATTCAAAAAGTTCACACCTCTATGTGAAATTAAGTTTTGGATCTCTCTTACAGATATAAAAATAGAAGCATACTGCTTATTAAGGCTCAAAACAATTTCAGAGGCCAGTTTGATCTACACATGCACCCACACACAATGGAAGGGATGAGCTAGCAGCTGCCAACTAAGACCTTGTCAAACACAGTAGGCTGACCATAAGTTTGTACACACATTTCATACTGCAATATGGACACTTGATAAAACAAACTTCACTGCAAGGAAAATAGAACATTTTATTGTCATTGTATATTTCTGAAAAGAATATATAAATGTTATTTCAACTAATGTTCTGCTTCGACTTTTGCTTCAGTGAATAACTTTTTTTTATAGGTTTCATTTAAAAGATGGATTGTTAAAATGTTTAGAATCCCAATACTCAGATAAAAGCAAAAACCTGAGTAGACAGATCCCAACACCTCCAAGGAAATGGACAAAATCTGATAGCTAAACATTTGATGGTGCAAATGTCATTAAAGTCAAAAAAGGAGTTCAAGCAAAAATAAAAGCAGTTTATAGCTTCGCACATTTTCACTGTTATGCACATCATCTTAATGAGAAATGCAGCAAGTATTACATGAAACAAGAATATTTTTCTCTAACATTTTGGCTATTCCGACATTCTTCTCAAGATCACCACAATGTCTATCCATTCTCAAGATGTATATGGATGTCAGCATTCCACATCCATCCTCTACAAGATGGAACATTAATATATGGACTGTGAACAGAGTTCATAAAAATTTGCAACTTTTAAAAAGCTGCTTTACTGAAATTCAGTCAACATCTAATGCAGATCAAATTATTGCAGAAACAGAAATTTTACAATACTTGAATGATGATAATTTCATGTTTTGGTTAGAGCTTTTTCATCAGATTATGCTTCATGTTAAGTAATTTACAACCAAATGCAATCTTGAAAAGTTAGTGAGTTTAAAGTTAATGAATATATAACATTTCAAAACTACTATTTTAGAAATAAGAACCTCTAAGTCCTGTGAGAATCCTTCAAAGATACTTATGGCAGAAAGAAAGGAAGCATATGACTACATATATGTTGATATAATGAACAAATATTCTTCCACTAAATACTAAGTAGCTGCTAAATTGTTCAACAAGAAAAGCTTCACTAGTTTTAAGAATTAAATGCCTACAGAAAAGACGGTACTGACCACTGAAGCGTATCACATGATTGACAAAGAAAAGCTTAAAACTGAACTAAAAGTATTCTATTGTTGATCCGATATGCATGAACAGTGTGAGCTGCTGAAATTTATCTTGGAAAATAATCTAGATAATGTTCTTAGTGAAATTACCAAAATGACAAAAATCCTCTTGACAATTTCCATGACTACATTAGAGCCAGAATGCTGCTTTTCAATACTAAAAAAAAAAAAAAAAAAAAAAAAAAAAATTGCTATGGAACACTATGAATCCTGAAAGACTAAATGCACTTGCAGTACTTTCAATAGAGGAAAATATCCTCAACCATCATCCAGGGATCAATTTTGCTCCAAGTAAAAGAATGGATTTTATTTTTAAATAAATGGATCAAACTTGAACTGTAACTATTTATAAGTAAATTTTCTTATGTATGTTTTGTTTTGTACACTATTAAAACAATGGCTAAAAATGTTCTGAAGCAGCACCCCTGCTAATTTCATCCACAAACCACCAGTTTCTTAGAAAAAATTTCCAAATAAATCTTATCAAGAGAGTTGTCAACCTCATAATAAACATTCACCTCCATCTTAAAAAATGATTTTATGCAACATTTTTAACAAAAAAGTAATATTTATTTCAAATACAAACCAGAATGCACAAAAAAAAAAAATGATCTATCTCATAAGGCTTTAAGGACATTTATGAAACTGAATGCAGCTTTCAACTAATTTTATATTTTAACAACTTAAGTGTAAAAATCTAAAATTAAAGAAATAAATAATTGTATTATTAAAAATTCATTTTTCATCGAAAAGGTTTTCTGCTTTCAGAAAATATTGTCTATATTCATAAAAACAAATAAAAGCATTTGAAATTAATATCTTTGTATGCTACAATTCAGAGCTGATTTTCAGGTGGGGTCCAATTAAAAAAAAAAAAAAACTTTGCTTTTCTCAAAGCCTTGTGCTTTTAATCACTAAAAAACTGAATGCTATTGAATTTCTACAGTTTTTATAAAATTAGTTATGGGGTAATAAATAAATAAATATATATATATATATATAACAAACGTTTATAATAATTTGCATCATTTATGAATAGTTTCATATTAACATCAGACAATTATTTTATTTTTGCAAAAATTTTCCATGTCTGTCATACAAAAAAAAAAGTGCTAAAAATTGTATGTTATTTTACATTGTAAAATAACATACAATTTTTAGCACTTTTTTAAAAATTTACAAGTGCCGGTGATAGAAAGAGAAACAAGGTTTGTTTTTTGTTTAATCAAAACTTAGAATGTTAAAACTTTTTTAAAAATAATTAAAAAATACTTTAGTCTTTCTTCTAAATAATAAACATTTATTTTAAATTTTAGACGATAAAATTTTTGTTTTCGTCTAGTTTGGCGTCTTTTTCACCATACTATGCCCCCCCTTTTTTTAAAGCAATTTTATGAAAAAGGACAATGGGCATTCTTATTTTAAATACAACTAAAGTTTTTCGAAAAATAAATAAATTTCAAATTTTTAATTGTTGCGTTCCAAGACGAATGAGTATCCATGAAATCATCTATTTTCTGAAACTCGGCGTGATGTGCTTGAATCAAACAAAAAACACAAACAAAAAACCTTCTACTTTCAGCTTTTTAGCATTGGGTGGCAGTCAGTCTAAGAGAAGAAAAACTGAATTCCAAGCCGTGGAGAAAGCAACGGGAAATGACACCATCTTTTCCATAAAGAAAGCCATGCAGTTTCGTAAAAGAAAAAGAAAAAAAAAAGTTGCATTCCTAAATTTCAATGAGGTTTACCGTTTAAGTCAGTACAGTTTTCAGATTTCAAATTTTTTGTGGCCAGAATGCTGCAGTGGAAAGCAATATGCCAAGAACTATTGAATTTATATAGTAAGACTTTGACTCCCAAAGAATAAAACAATTTCTGTCCATTTTTACTTGAAACCTTCAAACAAGTGGACATATTTCTTTTCGGGTCGATGGCTACACGTACTGTCAATATTTTATTAAAAATAAAATATACTGGCATATTATCAACTTGGGTCCAAAATCAGTGAAGAAAATCAAGTTACAGTTGTTAAAAAATAAATACCAATAGTGGAAATGTTTACGATTAAAAGATTAAAAGCAGGGAAAATTAGAAATCTTTGCATTTTTTTTTTTTTTTTAGTTATACAAACTTATAGCGAGTAACTTTTGTTTAACAAATGAAGAGTCAATACAATCAATTTAAAATGCAAATTCGCAGTTTTACACCAGAATATTATGGTTTGTAAGAATTATATGTCAAAACTCAAAATTAAACACCGCTCGAAGTATTTTTTTATTTTTCATACAATATTTTGTTTACATACCGTTATGGTGTGTATATTCATTCAAGGTAAAAAAAGAGACCTGTTACAAGTTACGTTGATATTTTTATTGCCGTATTTCCTTTTATTGTAATGTAAACACTTTTTATGACGTAGTTAAAAGCAATAGGTAGTCCAGAAAATGGAAATAAGGAGCATTTAATAAGGACAATAAGCATTGTATTTTAAATACAAAATAAAAACATTCAGGACCCCTAAATGTTTCTGTTTTGCTCACGTTTTCAAGGAATAAAAAAAGAGTTTACGTGTAAAAAAAAAAAAAACTAACACAAAAAACAACATAGGATAAATGAAAAAATTCTGCATTCTTAAATAAAATACTGAGAATATAATTTACCACAGAGAAATTAATTAATAAAGCGTCTCCACAACATAGAAACAATAAAGGCCTTGAATTCGATGAAAGGTCGGTGGTATTCATAAGCTTGTCAACATAAACCGCCATATTTGTAGAGAGCTCACTATAAATCCCGAATCATCGAGATCAAACAAAAATTTTAAACGAATTATTTATCTATTTAAATGAATGAATTACCTGTTAAATATCGAATAGTATGTAGAAAATCCTTTTGATAACAAAAAGAAGAATTAATTAAATAATTTTAATAAAAAAAGTCAAAGCCGATATTGGGCGGGCCAATTGCTTCCAATTGGGTCGAGCATACGCAACGCTCACCATATAAAAAAAATTAGAAATTAGGTTCGTTAGGCGTACAAGGAAAAGGACTCTTAACACAATGTGAAACGGAACAAAACGAATTTGTTTATTTACAATTTATTAGTAATAATATCAAATAATTAATAAAAATAATGTGAATTAAATATTAGTCTAGGTTTGTTTGTCTTATGCACTTACTTTTTTTGGAAGACGTGTATTATTATAAAAGTTAAAAAAAAAAAAAGAGGTTTATGAAAATTGTTACATTTGCCTCTAAAATTTAAAAAAATATAGAATTGAATTTAAAGGACCACCAGAAATAGAAATTTAAGCTGATTGAGTGATTGAGCCTATATCCGATCATCAGCCTTTCTGAGTGAAAGCAGATGCTTTTATTGGGCTCCAGCTTAAAAATATTGACTTTCAAAAAATATTTTGTGTCCTGCCGATTTGTGGAAAAATAGCGACATGCGATTTATTTTTGGCACCAATCAGAGGGCTTCGCTCCAAATCCCGAGACACAATACAATCTGGAGCTGGCCTTGGTGTAGAAAAGAAAAGAATTCAATTGAATCGATAGGAAGAAAAGACAACATTTTCAGCTGTTGGTTGAATCAGGCCACTGTGGTCAAGAACAACGACATAGAAGATATCTGATATTGCTAATCAAGGTTTGAAACGAATCAAGACTGCGCTAAGTAAAATTCAAGGATTGGTGTGATATCTTTTTTTTCACTGTTATCAAGAAAGGTCTCTACGAATATTGTACCGACTACTTGAAAAGTATTCAGAGAAGTAGTACCTTTCATTTTTCTATATATGTTAATGTTACTGTCTGGGGACCTCATGGAGCATAAAAACAGCATACTTTGTTTTAAGAATATATTCTTTATTGTAGGAAGTATAATTTTATATCCTTTATTGTAAAAAAGGCATATTTATGTCAGAGTTAGCTCCTTCTTAATTCCCTAATTGTTCACTAGGGGTCACTCTACCTACACTATAAATACTGGGTGACTTCTTGCCTTGTTCCCTTTTCTACTTTGCATTTCAGCGGACACATTTAAAAATGTAATCTCTCGTAGAAATCTGCGTTTTGCCCACTTATAGGAAAACGCCATGAAACACACCTACATACGAACATTCACCAAAATGCAAACTCACACATAAACACAAATGTTGATGTCTCTATCACTTGTAAATTTGTTGTTTAATACATATATTTGTTGACATATATATTTCGGTCTTGTTTGTTTTCTTTACATCTTCGGTTGAACTCAACTTGAGTCCAGCATGTTCTTCTAGCAGGAATAAACAGCACGTATTCTTAATTCAACAACACACAAGCTGACACGGTCATCTACATTTATTTGTACTGTACTTGTATTTGCATTATATGCTTTCTATTTGTAACTGCTGGCCATTATTGACATGCAAAACACTTTATTTGTGTAATTTTCCTTTCATTTTTTTGTGTTCAATAAATTTAACGTACTTCTCTCTTTAAACTCAGCTTGTGTTTTCTTTGTTGTATGCTTTGGCTTTAACATCAAATGTTATCACAAATGATACATTTTTTGTAGAGTTTTTTACCTTATAAAAATCCTCATTGGGAAATTTGTCCTGGCTTTCCCACATCAAAGGGTTGAGATTAAAAAACTGTGACAAAATGCAAATAAAAACAGCAAGATTAGAGTGGGCAAACACTCTTTTAGGCGGACAAATAAAGAAAAAACTCCTGCTTGGTGTGTAACAATAAAAGAAGAAAGTGTTTAATTAAATATACAGAAAAAAAGGGTAAAGGGATATGTAGTGAACAAAACAAGATCTAGATTTAAAATTCAAATGCTAAGCACTGACGCATTGATTTTGTTAGAAATTAAAAAAACTTGAATTTACAAACTTTGCTTAACACACACGCAAAAGTGAATCTAAAACAAAACTCATGAAATTTCATACCTTGATGCGAAATGTTTTTTGGCCAATAGAAAATTAGGAAACATTTAAAAACAAAATTCAAATAATCTTCTGTTCTCAGAAAAAAATTCTTTTACGGAGCTTTTCGCAAGCTGACGCGAAGTTTGTTCGTCGTCCAATGGAAAGGCCCAAATCATATCCGGGAGTGAATTCCCAAATGACCTTTTCAAGCCCCACAAACAAAATAAAATACGGGCTAGTTCGCCTGTCACCAGAGAGAAGGAGACCAGTGTATTAACACGTCCCTTGACAAACGTCAAGCGAGCATTATTATTATCTCTACCTTTCTCCCTCACCTTTTTTATACTTGATAAACAAACAGAACATTTTAAGACTGAGCGATTACTTCAAAGACATTCCTACCCTACAATAACGCTCATACATACATACATACATCCACACATACGTTCCTGCTTACGTACACATAGACTCATTCTTGCAATGACTACTACGAACATTTTGACAACCTTGTATCAACCAAAATACATTAATTTTATTTGTAGATACCTTAATTGATTTATATGTATATAAATTTGTTGTTTCACTTTACAATTTGATTTTCTTGTTTCATACACCTCTTATGGTGGGCTATCTAACTAACAAGGCCAAATCAAACTAATCTGTTTCCACACTCATACACTTCACTATAACTGATAACCCACTATAGATAAAGACAATTAGGAGAGAAAGAAAGGGAGAAGAAAATGTCCTTTAAGGGAAGAGAAAATGTTCATAACAGAAAAAAAGGCTTGCTGAAAATATTTCTGAGCTCCTAAATGTTCTTTAAGCGAGTAGAATTTTGTTAAGGTTGAGAAACACTGACAGTTTTCTTCAAAGTTCCTGCAGAATAGAAAAATGTTGGTAGATATAGGAATTCTGCAGTTGAGTCAGTTCGTAGGTTGATGAGAAAGTCTTGTAGGTGAAAGGAGGCAGCTTTCAACTGGTCTTTAATAGTGGGTTGACGTTCGTTCTCAACAGCCCTTTAGTAGGTAGTTTTTTGGTTGAAAGTAGTTCTGAAGTTGACTGGTGCTCTCTATCGCCGACCTTACAGATGGTGGGCCAAATTCTCACTACCAAATAAGCAAAGATTCTCTAAATCTATGGAGATTTGGGAGGCTAAGAAGGATTGCGGACTTTTCCCTCTAAAATCATTATACAAATTTCCTGGCCCTTTCATTGATCAGAAAACAAAGTCTTATCTCTGATAATCAAGGCTTTGGCAGCCGGTTTTGAAAGTAATGAAAAAGGTTGAAGTGAACAAGCTGTGAGGTTTCCCCTCAGACTTTATGGCACCATGGAAAGAATAATAGTGGTGGAATTCCTTTTTATATTTTCTAGCTCTCTCCGTTAGCCAGAAAATATATTCTTATCTCTGATAAGAATCAAGGCTTTGGGAGCCAGTTTTGAAAGTAAGAAAAAAGGTTGGATTGAGGATTTGAAAAATAGGCTAGAATGTGAACTTGTAAAACACTGTTCTCAAATTCCAATATCCTATGAGAAATAACAGTCATGGCAGACTGTTAGTAATTCATTTTTTCAAATTAAAAAAAATATATCCCTCTTGTGTTTATGGTCCAATGAAAATGGTGGCATCTGCCCATGTAAATGTAAAGTTTGTGGAGAAGTGCCTGGAGTTCTTAGTATTATTTATCAGAAAATTTTGGAAATAAATGAACAGAATCAAAGGTATAAACAAAATATATGTTTATTTATGTAACTTCAATTGGAGCTAGGGTTAGTGAAAGTTCATTCAGCTGGGTATTTGATAGTTGCAGACTTTGGTAGTAGTTATCATTTTGTTGGCACAAACTGTCGGTAGTGTGGTTACTTTGGAAATAGGTGCAGCATCAAAAGTCTATTTGTTTTTTTGATTGGACAAAATTCTTTCATTTTTTGGTGTTCCTTTCTTTTGCATTTTTTTTATAGCAAAAGTTATGTATGGAGCATCTCTTATTTTGGTAGATTTATAGTTACAATAACTTGGACTAGGAAAACTTCTGCCATTTCACAGCTATGTTCAGTCTTTTCTTCTTATTATTATTATTATTTGAGGGTTGCCTTCTTATTAGCTAAGAGATAAGTATATAGAGAGAAGGGTGGAAAGAGAGAGAAAAAGATATAGTTCTTAAGGAAAGCAAATACTGTATTTTAATGTGGATGTTTTTTTCTACATATTTTATTTTATTTCTTTTTTTTTACAAGTCGAAATCTTCTCTCAGGAATATTTAAGAAGACAGGTCAGAGGATAAACAGTAGAAGTCATTTAAAATTCACATACAAAGGTAGCTGGCTGGCTTCAATGAAGCAGAGAGTGGATAAGATTGTGGCATTCAATGCAAAAGTTGATAGCAGCTGCTAGGGGAGAAAATAGCAGAAAGGTTTTGGCATTTGCAAGGACTTTGGCTGATGACTGCTATGATAATGAAAAGGAAGAACAAAGAAAAACTAAAAGCCAACCACAGCATTGCTGATCACATCACTGCTGACCATGAAAAGGAAGTTGAAAGAAAGCAGAAAGAAAAGTGAAAGACATTTTAAAAATATTGTTAAAGGCCTCAATGATACATGTTGCTTTTCGCCAAAGTTGTGGGTATGTTTTTTGTCTATTAGATGGATGCACTTTTCGTAAAGAGTATTTTCTTCCTTTTTTTTACAGTTTCTGTATCATATTCTCAAGGATTTTTTTCATGATATGAAGAATTGTATTGTAAATCTTTTTTAGATTATATAATTTCTATAATTTTGTTTTTTTTTATCTTGACTTGTTCATAATAAGACTGACAAAA